CCCCCGCCCCCTCGCAGTCTGTCCCTGCCCCCTCCCTCACCGTGGGGGGCATTGATATGCCCCTCCCAAACCCCTTCCACCACAATGGACTGACCACTGAAGGCTGGTGCTCCTGGCTGCCTGAGTGCTGCGCTGAGCCTGCACACAGCACAGGCGTTTATCACCCAAATTATGGGCCCCATCAGGCCAATATCCAATACAGCCAGTTTTCTTTATATCAGTACTGATCTGATATCGGACTGATGCACCTTTAATACTACGATCCCCTATCTGGATCACACCGCCAATTATTGATGACGTCTGTCAGATGTATCCTCTGGCATCTCCAAACAAATGATGGTGGAGGCCAGAGAGGGTAATGAACAGGGGATAGATCATTCTACACATACCCAGTTCAAAGGTCTCCCTCTAAAGCATCCTGTCCTGCCACTGTCAAAGGCAGGATACTGGACTAGATGGACCATTGGTGTGACCCAGTATGCCACTTCTTGTGTTCTGGAAGATACTCTCAAGACTTAAGTATCACCTGAGCTGGGCAAGTTAGAAAAATCTCTGCACTACAGCTATAGGAAATTGCTTTACAAAACCATCTATCTTTTGACCTCATTCAAACATAAGACACTTGCCAGAAAACTGAGTTTCAGCTGAGTTTGAGATAAGGAGCCAGAAGAAAAGAGCCATCATTTCACACAGAAAATTAGAAGTAGCATAGAATCCATGGGTTTTATTTGTTCTGTAATGGAAATGTGTGTATATGACTACCTTTTGCTCAAAGATGGTGCTGTTATAAAGACTGTAGAGTTCCTCTGTCAACACCACCTTTTTTCTCCTGAAATCCTTCACATATTGAGATGTTGGTTTTGAGAGATCTTGTAAGAAACAGCCAGGCACTGGACAAAGATTTGATCTGCAAGAAAAATAGCAGCAAAAAAGTTAACCCGTCACGTAAGTTTTCTAGAAAGGAATGGTTACTTACCTTATACAATATGGCGGGGACCCCTCATCTTCGATTCAAATACAAACAGAGGGAGGGGGGCAAATTGCTGCTGTAGTTCCAACTCTGGCCCCGACCTGGAGATGGGGTTTGGAGTCAGAGACTCCAAGGGGAGCGGGTCAATGGACCTGATCCAGCCCGAGGTCTAGCTCCACACCACTGGAGCGCAGTGTGCTCCATGGGGTCTGATGGGACCCTGGGGCAGCACTGAGGGCTGGATGGCAGGGTTCTACAGGCTGTATGTTTGATACCCCTGCTTTAAAGGATAGAAAGCAAACACTGCTTATTCAGTCTTGTTGCCCCAGGCAGAGAAGGACCTGAAATACTACAAAAGTTCTTGCAGGCAAGCTTCTTTGGGTAGATGTAATATCTTTTATTAGACCAACTGAGTAGTTGGACCACACTTCTTCTCAAGCTTTTGGGCACAAGCACCCTTCTTCAGGCATAGGGAGATTCTAAACCAAAAACCCTTCAAATGCTCTGAGCCTTCATGAGGATGAGTTGGGGGTGGCATGAGGACAGATTGTGTGATGTGGCTCAGTCACCACTGTTTGGAAGATTCTGATCTCAAGTACACATACTCCTGATGCAAAGGCCCAAAGTCTCATCCATGGAAGAGGAGCATGTTTTGAGCGTGTCAGTGACAGCCCTCATAGCAAAATGTACTCATATCCCTACATTAGTACAAAGGTTGTGCACATGCCCAATGTTATCATCAATGATAATGCCACAAGTACACAGTGGGCGTGCCAACACGTGCCCATTAATGCGCAGCAATAGGCTGCCGGGCACACGTCTGCATGCGTGCCAGGAATCACAGCACATCGAGCCAGGCCAGTGCAGGGTTAACCTCGTGCCCCAGTCAGCCCTCTAGCATCTACATGTGCACTGCTGGAGAGTTTTTTACTCTGCGCCCGGATAGCACTTGTGTTTACAAGTACTATCCTGCTGCAGAGTATATTGGTTTACTCCAGCCTAATAGGGGTGCCTCTCAGTGTCTACAGGGAGTCTAATTAGTCTACTGCGCAATAAACGTCTCATGTGGACATGACCAGTATTTATGAATATAAACTATTTGAAACTATATACACTGTTTTTAAGAGTAGCTTACAAATTGCAAAACAAGTCCATTCCTTTTAGTTGGAAACAAGTCCCACCTTATACACATCAAAGATTTCAGAGCCTTAAACTAGAGTACAGAAAGAAAAAGCTTTTCAAAACAGTAGTGCAAGCATTAAGGAAGCACAATTTTTTTTATCTGTTTCTTCTGAGCATGACAAACAGGAAGTACTGGTGAGAACATAATAGCAGTACTTTGCCTCAGAATTGAATTCAAGCTTCTTTTTTAGCTGCTTTTTATTTTCTCTGAACATGTGACAAGAACAAAGAGAGGTTTACCTTTTCTCGGATAGGGATGGATGCATGCAATTAACTGACTGGATCTCAGGAAGTCTCGTACAAGGCATTAAACTGGAAGAAGCATCTTTCAGCAAAGATTCTGAGTTGTGTCTCTGGATTCTCTCCCTCTGAACAGCCTGCTGTATGCTTTCACAGGAAGACCTGAAGTTTTCCAGTTCTACAAGCATACATAAAAAGATTACGAACCTAAATGAACCAAATATTAGGCATTTCTACCAAAGAATAAGGAATTAAGAGATTGACTACAAAGCAGCAGAACACTACATGATCCGAAGGTTAAATATTATAGGCCAAATACGGGCCAAAAAAGGAAACGGTTAAGCGTATCATTTGTTTCAGACAGGTCTGAAAGGACTTTAGGCGTGATTTACATATAACAAACCTTTATGAAGAAGAGTATAAGGAAGTCCTGCTGCCCATTTGGACAACACTTGCTTAATTAAGAGGATTAAGACAGAATAAAGAATGGATTTCTCCTACCTTTGGTAGCTGGTTGACAGACTGTGGTTTTGTTCATGGGTAAACTTGGAGTCAGAGGTGTGCTTCGCTTTTTTATCCGCTCTATTAATGATTTAAATTCATCTTCTGAGCTGTCTGAGTCTACCGTCGCATTTTGTTGCAACACTAAGGTTTGTATTTTGTCCTCTGTACTCTCCCCTTCACAACCTTGCTCCTTCTCATCCAGAGATGGGCTCAGATTATATTTAGAAAAAGCAAGATCTTTTTCTATGTGAGAAGGGGGTTGTTTTGTGCGTCTCAGGTTCTTCTTCAAGCCCTTCTCGCCACTCTTTTGGTGGCGGTCCCGCCACGTACTTTTTATAAAAACAGAATCTTCAGTGTCGCTGTCACTTAAAAACTCCAAACGCAGCTGTTCCCTATAGCAAGCATTTTCCTTTCCTCTAGCCACGGGTTTCTCTCGAGCCCAAACATCTTTCAGCGCTGCAATTTAAAAGATAAATATAAACAACCCACTAATTTAGCTTCAAAGACATCAGCTTTTGTTTTAATATCCATCTGGCAGATGCTTTGGAAAACACGAGAACCCTACACAGAGAAATATCTTAGGATTTCCATGCACATTTCCACTTAAGTCCATGTGATCTAGCAACAATGCAACTGAGAAATAGCCAAAAGACACACATCCACGGACTCTAGAGGGGCATGATGAGTCTGAGAGAAGTTGCAAGGGTCTAGCAAACACCATCACAGCTGCACTCTTGATAAAAGTTTCTGCAGCTATGTATGTTTAAGACTTTGTTTTAACATAATATTAATGTCAGTTCTATTTCTTAAATAAGCTATTTGAATGAGCAGTGGAGGGAATGGGAGCAGGCTTGCCTTTGGCAGCCGGGTTTCCTTTTAGTTGAAAGCAAACAGAATTGAAGAGGGTTAAGAGATAGACGGCCCATTTTTGTAACTGGCATAATTGGAAGGGAGAAAAACAGCAACACTAAATGTAGGAACAGGAAGCAGAGGCTGAGGAAGGAGAGAGAAGTAATCCAACAGAAAGGAAGAGAAGTTGACACATCATATCACTGTATATTACCTTTAAAGCAGGGGTGTCAAACCCATTTGGTCCCGTTGGGTTGGATCAGGCCCACAGACCACGCTCCCCACCTCGCCGTGCTGATTCCAGTGCCAGTGGCACCCTGGCCCACCCCCAGGTCTGGAACTGCATGTCACATGACACCTGCTCCAGTCAATCTGGGACCTGTGGTGTAGCGTCTGTGGGCACTGGATGCAGTCCAGTCCCGGACTGGCTAGCAAGAGTGCTGTATGCAGCGCACACGCTGCTGGCCTGGCCAGGCGCCGAGAGTCCCAGAGCAGTCATTAGGTGTGGTGCAGACCCAGGGCCACTGGGGCAGATGTCCTGTGTAATGCAGACCTTGGACCAGCTGGACCAGGCACTACATGCAGCACGCGTGCCAGATCCTGCACATAAGGCCAGGCCAGCAGCATGCAGACTGGCTCAGATCCAGGGGCAACCTCTGATTATGGAGCTCCATAGGCCAGATCCAGCCCATCAACTCTTTGACACCCCTGCCCTAAAGAGAAACCAGACATTTCCAAATTTACTTCCATCTCTTTAAGAAGCATTATGAGCTTGGAACAATGAGCATTTGTTCTTTCTACCCAGCTAAACAGTCATCCCCTCTGTGGATGGAGTGTTATTTGTCCTTCTTACTTGTACCTTCTTTTCTTTTAAAATCTGTGAAAAAGTCCTCCCTGGAGTCAACAATGAAGTCACTCAAACTGTAAAAATAAAATGAGACAAAGGACGCTATAACCAGAAACAGGATGATAGCCGCTATTCTTGTCCTAGCCTAGGTAAAACTTACCAGTTATCTATTGCAATGCTTGTCACCATGGCTGCCTCCACATTTTTCATGCTTATATTTGCATATTTTAAAGTGCAACAAAATCAGCAAGTTGGGGATGAGTATCTCATTAGACCTATCTCATCAACGAAGGACGAAAAGAGGTAGAGAGAAGTAACTGAACTAATATATCTCCATGAATGAGCTCATGATGCGAGTGCTCTCAAAGCTCCTAACCACAATACTGCCCTATGTACAGAAGAGAGGCTCCAATTCAGTTTTCCACATTCAAAATAAAATTTAAAAAACCAACACCGCGAACTTATACATGGCAACCAAAATGTCCCATTAATACATTTTTTCCTTAGCCATGTAGAAAATTATATAATTTAACATCTACCTGTCATTTTGCTTCTTTGGGACTTGATGGGCCAGGGATTTTGGAGTCTTCATTCTAGATAAAACTAAATCAGAACATTGTAATTACATTAGAGAGCTTAACTTTCTAAAAGAATCCTATTCTGTGCAAGGAGTATATACAAGGACTGAACCCATGTTACTTTTAAATTATAAATAGCATACAGGATCCCTAAAACACAAATTTTATTCAATGTCTTAATTCAAAATAGTAGCTGTTGAGAGTAGGAAATGTTTGACTCCTCTCTCTCCATTATCTTTCAATGCTTGTTCTGTCATAAAACCTGAAAAACAACTGCTCAGATATCATAACTGGAAACTTGGAGAAGTTGTCCCCATGCACATTAGATTATGGGTACACATGCCTTGTACACCCATGCTAAGGGGCTCTTTGCCTAGCAATACCCATACAACACAGATGCACCCATCTCCTTTAGTTTTGCATGGAGGGCATTAAAGGGTGGTAAATGCTACCTGCCATCAGTTTGTTCTTAATCATAGAATTGCAAGAATCATAGGACTCTTAGGAAGAGGGTATGGAGGGTAGGATGCAGAACATGCATATGGGGACAGCATAAGTTTGTAGTAGGGAAGTACCTTTGAGATTTTTTAGAGGCCACTTGGGGCTGCAACAGCTCCAAGATATACAGAGCAGCAGGGAACACAATTCTTGGAAGAACCCTCAGTTTGGAACTCCCTTTGAAGGTTCACCTTATTTTAGATCTCACTGGAAGACATCCTTGAAGCAGGGAGCTCTTGGACTAACCAGGCCATTCAGGGAGGTCTTGCATTCCAAGCTCCGCAGCTTTAAGAAAGTAAACCTGGAGCCTCACCTCCCAGTCTTTTGGGATCAAGGAGTTGAATGATTTGCTAATTGAACACTTCCCTAAAACAGAATTCACTCAGGCAAAGGCGGCATTTGCAGTGCCTGTTCTGGGGGATGGTCTTGTTAGAAGAAGGACAATACTTAAAGCCTGGCAGTTCATAAAAGGCCATCTTAGATAAAAGATGGCTTTTTCCAAGAGAAAGTTTGCTGAACTTGTAGATTTCCCAACTCATAAAAGACTGCCAATAGGCAATAGTGCCAGAAAACAAACCACTAGCTATACAGAATTAAAAAGCAGATTTCAAGGCAGAAATATTAAGTCTTAAGGACAACAAAAAATGCTCCCTCATACCAAAATGCAGCTGAGTGGAACTTCAAGGCAGGAAGTGTATACCATGCTTTCACACCCCTTGTATAGACCACAGGGAGTGATGCATATTCAGATAGGTACGCCTAAGCAGAAAGTCTCCCAACTCAGTGCCCAAGATGCATGTGCATCTTCAGTATGATTGGGGGGGGGGGGGAGAGAGGGGAGAATGATGTTCTTGTTGCAAAGCCTAACTTACTGTATTTAAAGGGAAAAAAAGCTTCCAAAAGTTTAGAAAATATATTTCCATAGCTAGGAACAATATACCTTCCTTTACTTGTTCATACAGCCAGCAAGAATTCTACCCAGTCTATACTCACACATTTCAAATTCTTCATCATCACTGGAAGAAATGGTCAGACTACAGCTGAAAAATAAAATATGAAACAGGTGTCAGAAATGTGACGAATCCAACAGATGAGGCTCAGAACTCCCCAGAAGTTCTCACAATTCAAGACTGATAAACAGATTAAAAAAAAAAAAGTTTTTGCTATACTTAGTCATTCTGGCCAGTTATTAATTTTCAAGTAGAAAGCAAATACAGAAATAAGCAATGGAAAGACAATGCTTTATTATGGAAAATTTGGCATCTTAAAGAAGGCATTCATCTGATGGTAACTTAACATTGTAGTCTGCTGCTCACAGAAAATCTGCACCCGTTCTTTGATGGGGGAACAGTTTTCTCTTTGCCATCTGCACCTAAGGAACCGGATGAGACGTTTCCTTATCAGATAGCCCAGTAGTCTAGACACCTTTGACAAGTTAACATAAAAAATAGCTGTTAACCCATTTATAAGCCCCACAAGAACTCATTTCTCTCATTAACAGCCTCCAGCAACCCCCTTGTTTCCTTAAAAGCCTATATGCAAACTAGAGGTACACTGATACATCAGTCTGATATCGGATCAGTATCGATATAAGGAAAATGATCTATATCGGCCTTAATTGGCCAATAAATGTCCATGCTGGGCACGGGCACAGCCACAGCACAGCGCATAGGCACTGAAGAGACAGCCTGCAGCACGGAGAGCTGCCTCCAGCCGGTAAGTATGGGGGAAAAGTGGGGAAAGGAAGGGAAGGAGCATGGCAGGGAGGGTGGGGGAGGCAGATCAAGGCCCTGATGTGAAGGAGGGATCTCCGGAGGCAGGGACTGGAGCAAGTGCTGCCCAGGCGGGGCGGCCAGGGGACAAAGCCTCAGCTTGTCCAGGGATGCAGGATGGAGCAGGGCTTGTCCCGGGCTCACTGGGGAGGGGGAGGTGGCTCCTGCCACCACATGCAACTCGTCCGCCGGCTCCCACCGCTGCTGCTGTCACTCGTCTGGGATGACACCAGGGGGCATGTGCCCCTGGATACGCACTGGGCAGGCTGGGGACAGGCCTGTTCCCAGCAGAGCCTGGGCTGGGCCAGACGCAGGGCAGGTGGCAGCGCCAGTGGGAGTAGGGGGCTACAGCAAATTTTGGGGTGGCTGCAGCCCCCTCCCGGAAATCCCACCCCACACCCTACCCAGCCCAGGCTCCACCAGGAACGGGTTGCGGATCTGTGCAGGGTTCCCAGCAGAGCCTGGGCCAGGCGGGGCATGAGGCAGCGCCACTAGGAGGCGGCGGCGGGGGGTGGGGTGTGTGTGCTGGAGCCACCCCAATCTTCGCCATAACCTCATCATAGCTCTCCACTCCCAACAGCACCACCGCCCACCCTGTGCCCCACCTGGGCAGCCCAGGCTCCATGGGGAACAGCCCTGACCCCAAGCTGCCCTGCTCAGCACACATCCAGGGGCACACGCACCCCTGTGCCCTCCCGGACAAGTGACAGCAGCAGCGGCAGGAGCCTGCGGACAAGCTGCATGTGGTGGTGGGAGCCACCTCCGCCTCCCTCCACGCCCCCCAGTCAAGCCCTGCTCCATGCCGTGCCCCCCAGACAACTTGTGGGTAGTCCCTGGCTGGCCCTCCCCAACTAGGCAGGGCTTGCCCCTGCCCTAGCCCTCCCTCCCTCACAGCGGGGCCTTGATTTGCCCCCCTATGCCCCTTCCCTTCCCCCTCCACCCACCCCTTCTCTTACCACACCAGACTTACCTGTTGCAGGCAGTGTATCAGATATCAGATTAGTATCAACCAATATGCCTCCTTAAATATTGGCTATTGGTAACGGCCTCAAAAACCCCTAGTGTAAACAGGTAAGCCTTTCACAGGTCCCTCTGCGGAAATTATAGAGGGATTGCCTCCTACCCTCCCTTCTCTACCTATCGTTTTCCTAATTTCCACCTATTTACATTCTCACTGACCTCTTGTCACACTTGTAGCTTCTTTCATTCCCTGGAGATCTCAGAACAGCATGTCACAACCCAGTGATTTTTTGGTGCCTCGGCACTATGGAATTTCCTGGCCACATGAGAGCTCCTTTGCACGGCAGAGTGTTCTGCTGCAATTAAGAGCCTGCGTGCAGGAGAGTTCCCGCCAATTTGCAGTTTCCTTTGCAGGATGCATTTCTTCTTTGCAGCACAGAAATGCACGGTGCAAAGAGTTCCCGCTATTCGGATGCAAATTGCCGATCGATAGACTGATCCCCTATCGATCTTTCTTCCTGTCGCCGAGCGCACCCCCGACGTACCCCTTTCCCCGCCGGCTTCGAATTGCGGACGGATTAACTGGCTTGGGCCCCGCCAGCTAGAACAACTCGTGTGGTTGTTCAGACGACCGGACCACCTGCGTCGTGATTGCAAGCGGCGTGAGTAAAGTTTTTTGCAACCAATAAGTTGTGTCTGCCTCTCCATTCACCAGCCCGCCCTGACGTACGAGCGTAACTCGAGTCGGCCCTGGCCGTCCGAGACACAGCAAAGACCCCCTATGCCTGAAAAGGGGCGTTTGTGCCCAAAAGCTTCCAAAGAACTTCTTTCCAGCTACTCAGTTGGTCGGATAAAAGATATCACATCTACCCAAAGAGCCTTGCCTGCCTAAGAAACATGCATTCCACGAACACTTCAAAATACCGGGGTTCTTCCCAAGTGCATTCTTTTTTTAATTTAATTTAAATACCTTTTTCTAAAAATAGAACAGGTTTAAAATAAAATGTGAAGTCATGAAAACATAAGCAAGCTGTAACCTACCTTTGACTATTTTTACTTCATTTAAATGTTTACACAGTACATAATTCCTGTGGCCATTTTAAAGAAACTCAAACCATAACCTAGAGAAGGTTATTGACTCTTGTCAGGTATGGTTTGCTAAAATAACTCTTGATATTGGAAATCTTAAGTTTCAAAAACAATACTGCTTTCATTTTAGTTTATTCAACTAATCCATTCAAAGCTCTCTTCCAATCCATAAATCAAAATAAACTATGAGAGGATGAAAGCCATCAGCTCTAAAACCTTGAAGGACATGATGCCAAACAGCCATAATTTCAAACAAGTAATTATGGATACCATCTGCATTTAATACATGAACTTTAAGTGCAAAATGGGGATGTAACTATCGTTTAAAAAAATACCTCTTCTAATTATATTGGTTACATGGTCCCGTGACAGAGAGGCAAGATGGCAAGGGAAGCCGGGGCCAAGGGTGATATGTGGGATCCTGGCGAGTTCTGCGGCCAGCCGAGACTGAAACCCATGGCCACAGCAGGCTCTACGTGGTAAGTGTGTGGGAGCAGGCAGGCAGCGGCACCAGCACAGGGTGGTAGGGTCCGCTGGGGTTCTCGGGCTTGGTGCAGCCCGCTGTTGGGGGACCAGCCCTAGCAGGAACTGCCTGGGAGATGGCACGGATCTGGGCTGCAGCATCACACAGCTGCTGCGGGAGGGAGGGAGGTAACTACCAGTTACCTGGGGGAGCAGAGCTGGGCAACGTTGTGTGGTGGAGTTGACAAGACTCAAAACAGGAGCAAGCACAGTGGCAGGGCTGCCATCAAGTGCTGCAGGGTTGCACAGAGCCAGGACTCCCTCCAAGAGCACCCACCAGGGTTTCCACACGCATTCTCCATCTGGATGCTGCCAGCAGCCGGGCCAGTGCCACGCTGCACTCGCTTGGCTGAGGGCTTGCCCAGTGCCGGGGCTCCTAGCACAGAGTGCTCAGCCCGCAGGTGGATGCCTCAGGTGCAATCTTGCACAGCACGCCCATCTACCACACCCTGGGCTGGGAGAGCTGCTGCTGCAGGTTGTTGCCAAGCAGCATGCTGGAACCCAGGGGGGTGGACGGGAGGGAAGCATTGCCCAGGGTTCTGGGCACCGGCAGGCTGGAGGCACTGCCTGGGTGCAGTGCAGTTCTGGCAGGCAGGAACCCCTGTGAGTGCTATGGGGGGAATGCACCTGGCTCCATGCAGCCTGCCATTGCATTCACTCCTATTTTAGCCCCAGTAGCTCCGTTGCACAACTTTGCCCGGCTCTGCTCCCCCAGGTAACCGCTAGTTATCTCCTTGCCATGACAGTCTGGATCCAGGCAGCCCCAGCTAGAGCTACTCTGCCAACAGCGAGCAGCACCAAGTCGGGAGGTAAACGGTAAAAAAAAGAATATAATTACCATTTAAACTCTTACATTCTTAGTGCAAAAAAAGGGCCATAAATATCTTTGTCTTGTGAAATATCACATCACGTGGCATCGGTACATTCTATATATAAATGGCTTAGTCCATCTGTCTGCCCACAAGGCTCTTGGGGGGCACGTCTCCAGCCACTGCTGTGTCAAGAATGACAGGCAGGGTGTGGCTACAGTGGGGCGGGGCAGGCAAGA